TTAGTTTTCAATTTTTTGCATAAGAAAGACGGAAAATTGGAAAAATAAAACCCGCATCTTTTTCAATAATCTGCAGTGATGCCATGGAATTTTATAATACAAAAACTACGCCAATATCCGTCATGCCATGGAATGTCTGCTATAAAACAAATCAAATTCTATCAAAAAGTATTATATTTAGAACAGCGATTTCAACACAAAAAAAAGACCAAATTACTAAAAACGGTTTCCTAATATAACAATTTACAATAAATGTTCGAATCAGTCGCCATTAACTGCAAGACTGTAACCAAGTCGATCATAAAATCCATTTCGAACTGCTGCTAATTGATAACTTTTGGATATCTTTTTGTTTTAGGAAATTCCATGGCATCGCAGATTATTGAAAAAGATGCGGGTTTTATTTTTCTCTGTTTTGCGTTTATAATGACAGTATTCCGATAGCAAAAATAGTGCTGGAATGAGTTTCATTCCAACACTATTTTTGGTAACTATTTTCCACAACTGACAGATTTTTAAGAACATTTGGTATTCAGTGGTTGGCATGCTCGTCTAAATCATCCAGGCTGATCATATACGCGAATGTTCAATTCAAAGTTCTGCCTGGATGATTTAGACGTTATACTTATCTCAACGGTTTAGTAAAATGTGGACTAATTTCACTTATTGTTATAACATTATGTTACAGTTATTAACGATACGGGTAATTGAAATCATTAGGTATTGAAAATTCAGTGTAGGTACTTAGAGAAATCCACATTTAATACAAATGAGGTTTTATAACCTAACAAAATTACAAAACTAATCTTTGTCACTAAATGTACAATTATTATAAACTTTTAGAATAATTGTGAAATTATTGCCTGGTAGCAAATTATGAACAGTCTCTTCTGCTAACTGTCGAAGCTCTGGAGGAGTGGAAGGACGAATTTCTTCGCACATTATTCACTTTTTATTGAAAAAACTAAAATATACTGCACAAATTCGTATTTGGCGCGCTTGTTAAATTGAATTTTTTCAAAATGTAGCGTAGCCAACTTAATTTCTTTATTGAAAAATTGTTGGTGTTGCCAACTTAATTTCTTTATTGAAATATTTATTACATAAAATGTCAGAATTGTTAATTTTTTTAATACAATTAAAATGCTCAACAGAGTAAATAGTATAAAGCATATGTTGCAGAAGGTCTTTCTAGCACTCGTTCATTCGAAACTTGAACTCGTGCTAGAATATAGCGCCTTCTGCAACTTATGCTTTAATATACTATTCCAATTTTCCGTCTTTATATGAAAAAAATTGAAAACTAATACGGTTGATTGACATAAAAAATTTTGTTCTACAAAAAACCTTAATACATTTTTGCTCTAAAATAATTTGGGGAGCCAATAATCGCATGTAATGAATTTTACATTAAAATCCCTATGATGCGTTACGCAAGTCACCACCCTGTATAGTTAACTATGCTCTAAAGTATTTATTGAGACTTTACAATGCTGAAAGGAAAGTTAACGATAACTATGGCACTAAAATTATTGAACTCTATCTTGAGAACACTCGCCTCCGCAGTCGCACAATTCGGTGCAGGGCATGTCGGACTTGGCACAGCTGCATCTTTGTGTGCAACCTTTCTTAAGAGAGGCGGTAAGTAGGCGAATAGATGAATTTACAATTGAATCCATATTCAACAAACAAACTTAATCTACATACATTCGCAGGACATGTATGGGGACATTGCCTCCTGGCGCAACAGCAACTTCCGGATCCATGTGATTGGGGTTGGAGAAACTCGAGTGAAGATCAAGAATGGGAGCCTGTCTGGACTTTAAAACCTCCAGTTCCAGAAGCTTTTGTAATCTTAGTAAAATGTGGATGTAAGAAAGGTTGCACACAAAGATGCAGCTTTGTCAAGTCCGATGTGACCTGCATCGAATTGTGCGACTGCGGAGGCGAGTGTTCTCAAGATAGGGTTCAATAATTTTAGTGCCGTAGTTATCGTTAACTTTCCTTTCAGCATTGTAAAGTCTCAATAAATACTTTAGAGCATAGTTAACTATATAATATTCAATAGAGCAGCCAAAAGAGGTCTCCGTCACGATTTTACTGTCCGCACTAGAGGGTCGATCTGAGACAATTTTTTTTGAGGACCTCAAAAAAAGGCAGTGTACAACCTTCCTTTTTTAACAAAAATCGACTGCACCAAAATTTCTCGGGAAAACACTTTTTCTTATTAATTTTGGTGCGTAGAATCCAAAACAATTCGCACTTTTTCGATCAGACTTCTCAATCAAAAGTTATAGACTAGAAACCAATTTCGAAAGAAAATTCAAAGGGCTGTAACTTTTGAACTAGTAGCCCAATCTTAGAATTGATTGAAATTATGGATTCTACAGGCCACATTCTACAAGAAAAATTTTTTCCCGGGTCAATCTGAGACAATTTTTTTTGAGGGCCTCAAAAAAAGGCAGTGTATAACCTTCCTTTTTTACCAAAAATCGACTGCACCAAAATTTTTCGGGAAAACAATTTTTCTTATGAACAAATTTATTGATTGGGATTTGCTTAAGACAATTGTGTTATGTAAATGAATATTGTAGGTGGGCTAGCCTTTATCAAGGTTCTATTTAGTAGCTTTCTATAAAAAAAAAGGTTTCAAGATTTAAGAAAGGAAGAAAATTTCATTTAAAGATATTGTAGAAGGGAAAGTGCCCATAATACCAGCGGCATTGCCGCGCTGAATGGCCAGACTAATTTTTTGAATAAGAAATGTTTTTGAACGGTGCTCTCCTGTGGCATTTTTCAATTTCTTTCCTAAAGTATTTACAAATTGCATAGCTTCCGTACACCACGGTCCAAGGGTTTCAACAGCGAAAGGTAAAAACTGGTAACCTGCATTGATAATTTCCTGATATTTCCTCACCTTGTTAGCAGCAGTTTGTCTCGCAACCTCTCCAGTGGAATGCGAGGAAAGTGACAAGCGAGAAGAGGCAAGTGTATCAGAACAAGTCGCATCCCAAATTAAGTGTAGACCATGAGACCAAGGGATCAGAGTCATACCATCTACCCGTTTTCCGTCTGTTCTTGATAGTCCTAGGGGTTCTAATGTTGAAGGAATGTTTGCTGAGGCAAGAGCTTTCTGAATAATGCAATTGAGTTCGCGATGACGTGATAATCTTCCAGCACTTTTCTGACAAGATAGACCATGTGTGCCTTGACGGTCAACAAGCATGCCACACATACAGTGGTGGGATTCACAAATTGTGCAACCTAGACGTAGAGCCAGTGCTATTCGAAAAACATTATCATTCAGTAGTGTTCCCAGATTTTTACAAGGAAGTACATTGAGCCACGCTCCAGAAACTGATGATTGGCAGGCTAGATATCTTGCTGTATCGACACTGGATTCTAATTTCAAATCATCACTCAACCTGCTGATGTTTATAGTATCCCAGTTTTTCTGAACAGCGTAGAATCCAAAACAATTCGTACTTTTTCGATTAGACTTCTCAATCAAAAGTTAAGCCAATTTCGAAAGAAAATTCAAGGGGCTGTAACTTTTGAACTAGTAGCCCAATCTTGGAACTGTTTGAAATTATGGATTCTACAGGCCACATTCTATAAGAAAATTTTTTCCCGGGTCGATCTGAGACAATTTTTTTAGGGCCTCAAAAAAAGGCAGTGTACAACCTTCCTTTTTTACCAAAAATCGACTGCACCAAAATTTCTCCGGAAAACACTTTTTCTTATTAATTTTGGTGTGTAGAATCCAAAACAATTCGTACTTTTTCGATCAGACTTCTCAATCAAAAGTTATAGACTAGAAACTAGGGAATGCAATACCGGGATTGCGGGATCCCAAAATACTGGGATCCCGCAGCATTTTTGCGAGATTAATCCCGCGGGATTTGCGAGACTGAGGAATTTGTCGACCAAGGGGACGACTCTGTTTACTTTGTTAATGAAACTGATAACGGAGAATTATTTTTTAAATAATTGTTAAACTTTTTTCGATAAAAATGTACTATGATTTTTGAGGCACTTTAGAAGACTTTTTGTACTTTGCAGGTAAGGTTTTTTTGAGTTCTAAGTTAGGCCGAAGGTACATTTTATGGGCGGGTATTGAAATGCTACCTTGCGCTTAAGAAACCCGCTAAAACAAGTGCCGTTCGGGGTTGCGGGGGTGGCGGCATACCTGAAATTGAACCTTAGGGTGTCTAGAACATCCTCTGAAAGTTTCATAGTTATCACAAAATGCAAGGTTGAAACCTATTTTGGCTCTTAACCCCTGCACTAAAGCGCGATGCAATCGTAAAACTTAATGCAACGAATTTAAAGTCTTATAAACTGTAGGTATTTAACATAAAGGTCTGACGTTTCTTGTGCTTTCATACATCTCAAAGTTTAAATTTAAATAAACGGAATATAAAACATTGTATTCAAAATTGTTGTATTTACGTTGTATTCTTCAATATTTATTAATTTAATTTACAACCTTAAATGATATTGACATTGTTATTATTTCGTTTACCACAGCCAACGTTAGCCTATACTACCTAGTGGTAGCATCTCCCTATTAAAATTAACCCCCGACGTAGTCTTCTAAGCGTTTTGGAAAACAACTGGTCCTGGCAAACGTAAATATGCAACAGTAGCGTAACTGTAACATAAATTTCGTGCGTGTTGCATTATTGAATAACTTAAATGTGGTGTAACAAATACGAAACCTAGGCTCAAATGTTCGCCTTGCGTTACAAAAAATATGAAACAAGCTAAGATAGGTGAGGCTGTTGCAAAATAAAAGTTAATCCGATAGGTATCCTCTATTATAAAAGCATCGGTACAATTACCCCAGAATTAAATTAAATTTTAAGTAGGAAATATAATTTCTGTAGAACAACTGCAGATCAGAGATCGTTAAGATAATCCACTTTATAGCACAACACGTTACCATATTTAGATCATATCTACTGTATAACATAAGTATGTTAATTTATACCACATATTTGTATAGACATTGTGTGGTTATGTGAACCGTCGAGAATTACTAAAAATGAACGCAATTAAAAGGTCCACAATCGTAGCGCAAATTTGTTTAATCCGAGACCGAGTTCGGAGCGTACAGATAACCATGAAAATCTTAAACGTGCTACTCTTCTTGGTGATTGCAGCTTCGACACAGAAGGTTCGGCTTTTTGAACGTGTTATTTCTTTTAGTGTAAGTAATAATTGAATTTTAGCTAAAAGATAACGTTCGGGAAGCATGGGAAAAGAATAACGAGCCGTATGTGGATTTATGCGTTAATGAAACCAAAGTTGATCCCAAGATTCCCAGGATAATGTTCAGGCAACTGCATCTTCCCGACGAAGATACGTTTCACTGTTACATGAGATGCCTCTTTCGGAATTTGGGGTTATTGACGTCTGAGGACCAAATTAATCTTAACGCGCTGGCGGCAGCGCCTCATATATCGAACGTATTAGCGAAAGACTGTTTGGAATTATCGAAACCCGAACCGAATGTATGCAAAATGGTTTATATAATAACGGTCTGTCTTACCGAGAATAATTATGAATGATGGAAACCTCAATTAGGATTATTGATTTATCGTACACACCCAATTGACCTTTTTTGGACTTTTTGCAAATTAATTTGGAAAATAAATCTAGTATACAACATGCAATAAAAAACATATTTCTCGCCCAAAAATGGTTTCATTTTTTATCTGCTTAATTTAGCTTACTAATTAAATCCATAGTGTATTCTTCGAAAAGTTATTGTATAAGTAGTGTAATGTAGAAACACATAAGAATGATATGTGAACCAAAGAGTACAATGAAAACCGGAGTGAAGACAGCTGGCTTTGACCCAAAAATTTAAACACCAGAACGATGATAAGAGTTCGATATTTTGGGGACATTTGTTTTAACCACAATAATTGGTACTTTGAAAAACGTAGGCAAATGGGAATTTTTAGCAACATTTTAGCCCAAATATGGGAAATCGCGGTTTTCTCTTCCGCCCCCATTTTCGATTTTAACCTAATTAATCAATTAGACCAAATTAATATTCAATACAGTAGGGAATTGGCTTTTTATTCCCGTGCCCATGCTCTTGACCCTTGTAATGTAATTAATGGTTACAATCCAGTCGACGTTATAAATTGCGATCATTCGGCAATAATTAAAATGTTCAATAAATAATAACAGAAATCCGGATCACTTTTAACCTTCGCTATACATCTTCTCTAAATAAAATTTTGTTTTGAAGATATCCAGTGTTCCAGACAAAATGTTCGCCTTGAATATCCTTTGATTAACAGATCAATCATTGTCACAAAATTATAGCAAAAGAAGATTTTTGACACTAGGGCGTGAAGAAATAACCCAACACGAAATGAACACAACCTAAAGTAAAAATAACAAAAGATTGGAATGTTGGCGCTGGATTGAAAGGCTTATCGTATTTTAAGCGAATTTTTGAAAAAAAATACGCTATTATATTCGTTAGGCTGACTGTCCAGCCGAGATCTCAGCAATTACAATAGCTAGGAGACTTCAAATTTTCAGTGAAAGCTTTCTGCTATAGGTAGTGTAGATGTGCAGACTCTGGTCTACTTTGAGTTGAGATCGATAATTTTAAACTTTGCTAATGAAATACTGACCTGTATTGACTGTATTAATCATGCATATGCTAAAATGTGTTTGAAAAAACCGACAACCTGAAGTCCCACGATAAAAATTTTAATGTGCTATAATGAAATTACCTACGTGCGCTTACAAGGTGAACTTGCAGTTAATTTGTAAATTAGACTTCAAATGAGTGTTGTCAGGCATTCTTCTAATGACATAAAACTCAGTCGCTTAATTTAACGACCTTGTAGATCCCCTAAATACGGTGTTAGAGAGGAGCGGATGCAAACAAAAAGGCGTTCTTTTCCTTAGAAATTTGATTATGTGGCATTTGCCCATAAGGAATAGGGGTTGAGAAACTATGCTAGAGAGCGCTAGGAAGCAACTTATTTTTTAACTTTAGCCTACCTATGAAAGTGGGACCTTTTACGTTGTAACGTCTTTCCTTCTGTCCATCGCATCGATACGCTATAATACTTTCTTTTAGTACGTTGGGTACGCCAAAGAAGTGCACTTTTTGATTGGAAAATCCGTGCAGGAAACCAAAATGGTGGCCGTCAAAATGTCGCCATTAGCCGCAATATATTGTTTTGTATCTCTGCTCCTAATAGTCCGATTTTAATTTTCTTTTTTTTTATTGAAAGCTCTTGTGACGAGGAAACTATTTTGCTATATAACATTTATCTCAAAAACTTAAGGATTTAGCACAATTTAAAAAAAGTGTTTTTTTTACGAATTTGAATCACAAGTAAGCTCAACCCGATTTTTATGTATGTAATTTGTCCACGTCAAATGTTAATATGTTTGGATTTGTATTATTCAGCACAATATTCGGACTCTTAAGGTCTGATGATGAAACGGTCTATACGATTCGAAGTCGATTAGCTAAAGAAATATTAAAATTCAATTATTTGAAATACGAGTTTTCATTGTATCAGTTTGTATGGACAAATAATTCACTACGTCAAGAAAATAGTGCTTCCTATTTAAAAACAGTATGCCCCCTTTGACTGTGCAGAAGTATGCTACTGACGTTGAATGTGCGTGGATTGGTAGCAAACTTTTTATAATGATGGATGTCATAAAAAGATTCTTTAAAAAATGTTTTGAAGATAAAATTTTCACCCTGTATAAAAAGCATATCCGGAAAACGGTTAGCCTCGCGGTTAGTATTACGAAAAAAACCGATAAGACCTACAAAAATAATTCTTTTGTTAAGGGATACCCGGGGATACCTATAAAACATATCAACTCTTCTTCTCGTACCAACAAACCGTTCCCATTAATCTCAACCATTAAGGCTCTATCGTCCGTTTACAGAAGCTGGATTCCCTGTATAATAAAAATGATTCAACTTATATAAATAGGTATCTAAAACTTGGAAATCATAATATTCCGTTAATATTCTTAAAGAAAACCCGAGAGAAAACCCTCGAAAAAACCCATGATCTGAGTAAGAGCGAGAGTAAGAGTTTAAAGTTGATATACTGAGTGTTTCTTTAATTACTTTAAAAGCAGTGTATTTTCTGTTTTTCAGAGAAAAAATTTACGAGGCTTTTCCTTTCAATTTTCATAATGCTTGATCTCATGCCTGATGAAAAAATATGGCGCATTTTTTCAAAAAAAAAACACGGCTGATTGAAATTTTCCGAACTTGCAGGGTAGATACAAGGAGTTTTGGGGTTGTATCGATTGAATTTCTAAACGATGGCCTTTTTTGTCGAAAAGACCGGGATATTGCACAATTAAGAGCGTACTTGTGATTCAAATTCGTAAAAAAAACACTTTTTTTTAAAATTGTGCTAAATCCTTAAGTTTTAGAGATAAATGTTATTTATATAGCAAAACAGTTTCCTCGTCGTAAGGGCTTTCAATAAAAAAAAAAGAAAATTAAAATCGGACTATTAGGAGCAGAGACACAAAAAAATATATTGCGGCTAATGGCGCCATTTTGACGCCCACCATTTTGGTCTCCTGCACGGATTTTCGAGTGGCTCCCTATCTTAAAAGTTGCCTTTTGGTATTAACTATTATTACAGAAAGTGGCACATTCCAATCAAAAAGTGCCGTATTTTCTCCATTCTAGCCATGTATCCGACGTACTATTTAGACCACCAAGTAACTTGATGAGACTTTCGCCACACATAGAATTATGCACCATAATTGCGAAACTATCTTCATCTGTTCTTAGTTTTTGTCTAGGTAAAATCGAAGAAATCGAATCGAAGAAATGAGCTTATAGTTCTCTTCACCCAAATAACAGTTGTACGCTTTGTTTGATTTTTTAATACATTGATATACGAATTAATTCAACAAGGAAGACACTTCAGCAACTTTTAACATTTATATTCCACGTGAAAAGGGTAAGTTCTGTCATTATCTTAATTAAAAGGCAGGTTAAGCACCTTATTTTAAAAAGAATTATATTGTCGAATTTTCTAAAATTCAATTCAATATAAGTTCTATGTGAACCATCGCTTAAAACGCTCTTTTAAAAGTTTTACAATCATATTGTTAACCATAATGTATACAAAGAACGTTTTTGAATAATGTATTCTTCATCATTATTGGTTTTCTGCTATGCATACTTCTATATTACTTATCATACCCACCCTTTTCAGGTTCATCATTCTTCTCCATATTTCTCCACATTTTAAAAGCTTCTAACCTTTCCGGATCTCTTAATGTGTAGTCCACGTTTCACTACCGTACATTAGAACACTCCATAGAAATAGTATTTTACATTATTAGCCAGGTAAGTGAGTTTTTACTGGCGATAGGAGAAGTTGACTGGCGAGCAGTTAGGCGAGCCTGTCATCTCCTAGAGCCAGTAAAAACTATTACCTGGCGTATAATGTACAATATTTTATTTGTTACTCATTTGTAAACAATAGTATTCGTGAATAATTAGTTCTTAAATCGTCTTACTGACGATTGCTCAAAAAAAGAAGCACTTCAAAAACTTGAACATAATGTTGCATCAAAATGGCTACTCTTTAGATAAAATAAAGAAGACAATCAAAGGGTGTAACCATGGCCTATGTATCGGTATCTGATTGATGGTTACAGAGGACCAGTCACAAAAAAACAGAAAAAGCTAAGAACACTTCAAATTTAGATATACAGTTTCAATTGATTGACATTTACGAAATCTAACAAGAAACTCTTGATAAAGGTATAAAAGAAACGTCGAGTAACTATTAATAGTCACTTTACAGGAGAATAAACCGGAAAATGGATTTTATTAATAAAACTCGATAAGATAACTATCCCTGTCGATAACTATCGATACGTCGAATATTTCTCTCAAATGAGGCGTGCAATTACCGCTTAATTACAGCGGTAATTGCATTGTAGAAAGCTAAAGAGCCCTGCGATAATTGCACAGTTAATATGGTAAATTGGTAACTCCATTAAAGTTGCAAGAACTGCATTCGGTTATTTTCATATTTTGTTAACAGAGCCCTCTTGTCTTGTCGGGCTCTTTCACCAAAATATAAAAGTAAACTCATGCAGTTTTTAGACATGCTTTCAAAAAAATTATCGGTAATTTTGATGCACTTCTGCAATTACCTACCCGATACTTATATTGATAGATGAAAACAGTTATCGCCCATCCCTAGCGATAACTTCGACATATCGATATATCGATAACTATCGACATATCGATATATATCGATAACTATCGATATATCGATATATTTTACTTATCGATATGCCGATAACTATCGATATATCGATAACTATCGATAGTTATCGATTTATCGATATTTCGATAGTTATCGATATATCGATAGTTATCGATATATCGATCGTTATCGATATATCGATAGGTATCGATATATCGATAGTATTCATATATCGATAACTATCGATATATCTAGAACTATCGATATATTTTACTTATCGATATGCCGATAACTATCGATATATCGATAACTATCGATAGTTATCGATTTATCGATATTTCGATAGTTATCGATATATCGATAGTTATCGATATATCGATCGATATATCGATCGTTATCGATATATCGATAGGTATCGATATATCGATAACCA